TTTCATAGCTGTACGAAGCCAGAGAGAAATTATGATAAATGTGTATGTTGTAAAGGTATCCATAGGTTGTGGGAATGCCATGAGTTCAAAGATAAACATGTAGATGATCGATGGAATCTAGCCAGCAAAGAAAAATTGTGCTTCAAGTGTTTAGGTAATCACATGTCTAAGACTTGTACACGAATAATGTCATGCGGTATTAATGGTTGTCAAAGCGACCATAATAGCTGTCTCTTATACACATCTAGATGTGTATAAGAGACAGCTGACAATGAAAACACCAGTATAAACAGTGACACCATGAACCTAAGTAATGGCAGTAGCAATGAAAACACCAGTATTAACAGTGATGCCTTGAGCCCAAGTAATGGCAGTAGCAATGGAAACACCAGTACTACTAATAGTGATAAAGGGACTAAAGATAATGTAGTGAGTAATGACATAGCCCTGAGACTGGCTTTGGTTAGTGATTTCAATGGGGAACCAGATAATTATTGGGCATTTATGTCCAATTTCGAAACAAATATCGCAGCTAGGTTAAGTAATGATAGTTCCAAATTACAGTACTTGCTGCAGTTATGTAAAGGAAAGGCTAGGGCATGTATTGAAAGTACTGTGTTGTTGGGTCCTGAAGGTTACCATCAGGCATTAGAAATCATGAGAAAACAATTTGGCCAACCCCATTTGGTACTGAATGCTTTAATTGGTAATCTTTTGAATAGGAAACCTTTAAATGGAGGAGACCATGAAGGGTTATGGTTGCTGGTGGGAGACATGAAAAAGTTTCACATAACATTAACTAAAATGGGTTATACAAATGACTTAAATAGCACGTCAAACTTACTCAAAGTTCAGGGGTTATTACCAAAATTCCTACAGATTAAGGTGGGCCAATGTTGCCCATGAGATACTTTAGAAACGAGAACCCACCTTCCAAGATATGTTAAAATTTGTAGAAGGTCAGGCAGAAGTTAATAGCACTATGTTTGGGCGCCATGTAGAGGTAAATCAAAAGGTAAAAGATAAATCGGTTGAGGTTAAAAATAAAAGAGTCTTTCATAGCTGTACGAAGCCAGAGAGAAATTATGATAAATGTGTGTGTTGTAAAGGTATTCATAGGTTGTGGGAATGCTATGAGTTCAAAGATAAACATGTAGATGATCGATGGAATCTAGCCAGCAAAGAAAAATTGTGCTTCAAGTGTTTAGGTAATCACATGTCTAAGACTTGTACACGAATAATGTCATGCGGTATTAATGGTTGTCAAAGCGACCATAATAGATTGTTACATAGGACAAGAAATAATGATAAACGTGTAGGAAATTCTAAGGTTCTCATAGAAGGGGAGGAACAAGTACCGGGAGTCAGGCAAATAAGCCTATCACGATGTTAAATCAAAGTCATTCAGTTGCCTTACGTACTATACCTATAATAGTAAGCAAAGGTTGTAAACATATGCAGGTAAATGCTTTGTTAGATGATGGTAGTACGCAAACGTACATAAATACAGACCTGTGTCGGGAGTTGGGGCTCCATGGGGAAAGTGAAGAAATAGTTGTTAGTTTGTTGAATGGTAAAGAAGAAAGGTTTATTACAAGGCCAGTTACATTTAGTGTATCATCAGTAATGTGTGCGTTCCTTCTTAAACCAAGTTTGGCAATTAAACATAGAGGATGATTGGAGACTGGATCCAAAATGGTATTCAAGTTGGTCCAGACTGATTAGAATAGCAGCTTATATTCATAAGCTCATAACAAATTGTCGATCCAACAAAAATGACAGGGTCTATGGGCGGTTGGAGCATAAAGAGATCCAGTATGCGCAACTGAGCATAATACGAAAGGCGCAACAAGAATCATTCCCAAATGACATAAGGAACTTAAAGGAAAATGGTGTTGTTGGATCTAACAGTGTATTGGGTACATTAACACCTACAGTAGACGAAGACGGAGTATTGCGCATGACATGACGTTTAAGTTTGGTTGAAGCCTTGCCACATGACGTCAGATACCCAATCATATTGCCTAGAAAGTATCCAGTCACTAAACTTATTGTAAAGAAGTATCATGACTTGGGTAAACATGTAGCTGGAACAAATCATATAATAAATTGGGATAATATTATTATCACTGTTATCGGAAAGATATTGGATAATTCATCAGAGAAGAAGTCCGAGATTGTGAGAGGAACTGCGTGGGATGTAAGCGACGAACGGCAAAAATAGGCGAACAAATCATGTCTCCACTTCCTGAAATTAAGAATAAGATGGATAGTTTAAAGGCGTTTACCCGAGTGGCAGTGGATTATGCAGGACCATTTCTGACAATTCAAGGCAGAGGTAAGGTCAGAACAAAGAGATATTTGTGTCTATTCACTTGTTTGGCAACTAGAGCTGTCCATTTGGAGATAGCTTACGGATTGGACACTGATACATTCCTAAACGCATTTTATCGTTTTGTGAGTCGGAGTGGCCAGCCAAAAAAGATTTTATCTGACAATGGGACAAATTTCGTAGGAGCGAATAGGGAGTTAAAAGAATTAATTAAGTTGTTAGACCACAAGAAAATACAAACAGCAACAGTGGAAAAAGTATTAAGTGGAGGTTTATACCACCGTTGACTCCTCATTTTGGTGGCGCTCATGAGAGCTTAATAAAGTCTGCGAAGAAATCAATTTATGCAATACCTTCCTTCTTTTTTTTATATGTAAGAAGACTACAGTATGCCTTTCATATTATATTTATACAGTTGAGATGTGTATAAGAGACAGGGAGCGAATAGGGAGTTAAAAGAATTAATTAAGTTGTTAGACCACAAGAAAATACAAACAGCAACAGTGGAAAAAGGTATTAAGTGGAGGTTTATACCACCGTTGACTCCTCATTTTGGCGGCGCTCATGAGAGCTTAATAAAGTCTGCGAAGAAAGCAATTTATGCAATACTTAAAAATGCAGACATCACTGATGAAGAATTGCACTCGGCATTTGTAGGCGCAGAAGGAATTATGAATTCGCGACCATTGACATACCAAACTGCTTCAGGGAAAGATGCTTTACTATTAACTCCTAATCACTTCCTGCATGGGCAGATGGGTGGAATGTTTGCCTCGGAGGAGATCTTGGATACAACTAAATTTAGCCCACAGAAAAGGTGGCGTCGTGTTCAAGAGCTGATGAGGCATTTCTGGAACAGGTGGTTGGCTACCTGCATTGAATAAGAGAAATAAGTGGAAGGAGATGAAACGAGACATAGACGTAAATGATGTTGTTTTGGTAGTCGAGAAGGAAACTACGCGCGGCCGGCGGCCATTAGGTAGAGTAGTAGAAGTTTTCCCAAGACCAGACGGTCATGTTAGGGTAGTTAAGGTTAAAACTGCTAATGGAGAAATAGTAAGAGGGATTAACAAGGTATGTCCTTTAGAGATCATGGAATGAACAAGTGTAGGAAGATATAGTAAAAGAATTGTACCGTGGTAGCAGAAAATAAAACAAAATGGTTGGGGATACTATGGACTTGTAATTGAGTTTGTGCTATGCTCATAATTGTCGAGTTAAATTGGAAAAAAAAAAAGGGGGGGGGTGGGTATTGTTAAAATGTCTATCAACGGTCCGATGGAACATAAAGTAAACATATGATAGTAATAATTTATAGGGATCAATATTATGTACCATAATGTAAAGTAAAAAAGAAATGCATAAAGCTAGTGTGAACAAGTTTCAGTGAAATTTATTTTCATAGTCAAAGGTCATAGTAATGTATTTAATACCATAGTTCATTGGATTGTACTGGATTCATATATTTAATTCATAAAAGCAGTGTTCACAAAGTTTAAAAAGTGTTTGTACATGTATGCTATTGGTGCTTCATAAATCATGTATACCAGGTATTAAATGTTATTATTATTATACTTGTTAAACAAATACCATGATGATGTAAAATTTATGTTATGTTAAAATTAATGAGAAATGTCGACAAACTGTAGTATGTCGAAGAAGGGGAGAATGAATAGAAGAAAATTATTATTTAATTAAAACAATAGTTTAAATGTTGAGGGCGCTGATAATTTTGTATACCGGCGGAAGGTTGTTGTTTTTCGATCATGGCTGTTGACCGTTTTTTTTTTTTTTTTTTTTAATAAAGAAACAAAACAAAGTTTAAATGCGATTATGTTCCTTTATGACAGTGAGCAGTACTAAAATATTGGAAAGCGTCAATCCATTAGTAATATATTACTTTTTATAGGTCTTTATTCAGTAAGAAACGTACAATTACGAATTATATGTATACAATACATATATACTGGAGGGAATATTCCGAGCAATACGCACAAAAAAAAGATGGAAAAGGTTATACAAAACTCATTTAAAAAAACTAACATTTAGATCAAAGATAATTGTAATAGTCAATAGTTATAATAATTTTATTAGCTGTATGGTACACACAGCTCTACGTATTTAGAACAGCGAATGCATCAGTGCTCTATTATTCTTATACTGTAATATCCAACATCATTCATACATTACCACTCTAATGTTACCCGTCATCGACCTAACATCTCCACTTATTCACCCACAACTCGTTTATCCACCCATCCAATGAGGTATTAAATATTCCTTCATGCATCCATAACCCACTCACCCATTACACCAGACTACTGTCTCATATGCATCCATTTTTGTTAACATTGTTTTAGTGTGTTATAATAAGAATATTGAGTTGTAAATTATATTATGATATTGCGGTATGATAAAGTTTTTATTTTCTTTCATTGAAGCGAATTCGTCAACAACATCTATAACAGTCACAATGTTTGCATCAACTAAGAATCCGCCAGTTCAGAATGAGCCAGATCGTCAGGCTCAGTCATATCAGGCTCAGTCATATCAGTCAAGTAAAGGTAATAAACGAAAGTGTCTTTACCGTTACCCCTTGATGTATTGTTTTTGGGTCAGCGAAAGGCGGACCCCAGAAACTCACTGTTGTTTATATTGATTATGTTCCTTCCTTCCTTCTTTTTTTTATATGTAAGAAGACTACAGTATGCCTTTCATATTATATTTATACAGTTGCACTTTTTGAATTCAAACAGTCAAATCGGGGGTGGGGCAAAGGATGCACACATCCATAATCCCCTCCTTCTCATCGACCACTCGGTGGTATATCTACGGGAAAGGAGACTGGAGGCACACGCCCTCTTCCCTTTATCTTTCCAACTAAATCTCCTTCACTCTTTAGCACCCAATATCCCCCAGCCAATAGGCTTTTTGCTAACTTCATTTTCGTTTTCAGTTTCATTATATGCTATCATCATGGCAGCTGCAGGATTTGCTGTCGCAGCAACGATTGTCATTCTCTTCAGGGCTTGTCGGTGGGCGTCCAAGAAATTGTTTTGGGAAATTCCAGAACCGAATATCCCTCCTATTATTAAATATCATTGTGTAAGTGAAGATTTTATACAACTTATTTCAATATCCTAATGAATTGTTCTGAATAATAGCCAATAATAATAAAAATAATGATAATAATAATAATAATGATGATAATGATAATAATAATGATGATAATGATAAAGGTGCTCGAAATATGCTTTAATCAAGAATTAATAATTCTTCAATAGTACTTTAATAGGCCTATTTACGATAGTGTGAATGACATATTTGTTGATTAATTTATATAAATATATAATAGGTATATACCATTAATAATAACTGACGTCGTAAATGTAAAATCTGGGATTTTTTTTCAGTACAATCTTACCTATTTTTTTTTTCAATATTAGTTATAAGTTTCATTGTAAATTCTATGATATTTTAAACGAAATAATTTATGTTTTCAATTATTTAAGTATTAAACAATTCAGTGAGCCTAACGCTGGATGTAAATATAAAATAAAACAAAAGCAAATGCTAATACTATTGCGTACCTTTGGTAAGCATAGATCAGGATGGTTCATACGAGGTGACAAATATCCGTATGCCTGTAATTATGTAAATAATTTTCACACGAATTTAGGAATCTTCATTAATAATATCCTAATTAAAATCTTAAATTAGTTAATTACTAATGAAACAATAGATTGATATAAACAATGTGACCTAAAACTACAATTTATTAATAATTACATTTTTTAATTAATAAACGCAAGAATCATGCTATAGTGACTTATCATTAATTTTAATATAAGGATTACCCCATATGATTTGTTCTTTTATATCCTTTGTAAAAGTTGGATACTTTGTTCTACCACCACCGATGGAGTACCATGCCATTACGACCTTGGTGTAGAACTTTGGTAAATTTGTTAATACTATATTTTTACATAGGTTTGGCATTTCAAGCGCACTCAAATTAGGACCAATTTTATTGATATACGCAAGTGGAATTTCTTTCTAATTGGCTTCTTCTTTACTTAAAAATCATTTTACCCATGATATAAGCACCCTGTGCATATTCTGTCTCTTATACACATCTAGATGTGTATAAGAGACAGAGAATAAACAGCCTAAACAAGTAAACAGGAAGGCCAAAACTAAACTTATATATATGGGGTCCTACACAGCCCCCTACAGCCCCCTATTTCCTAGTCAATGGCTGCCAATAACTGATATATTTTCAGTGGCTAAATTTATTGTTATTAATCGTTCTAATTTATCATTATCATTTGATAAATTATTGCACTAGGACAAGCATAGTTAATTGATGGTAGACCAATAGTCTTCCATAATATGTTACCAGTGAACACGGTTAAAATCATCAAAATTGTCATTAATTGACTTTATATAAGCAATTAAGCGATTGCCTTTTTTTAATTACATATTCATAATGGGTATGTTCACTGAAGTTCTTAGATAAATACAGTAGGTTCCAAGTATTTATACAGTAATTAACTACTTATGTGATGAACTTATCACCTAGTTTCCAATGTTTGTCTTTATCTACACGTTTACCGACTACCATTAAATTGAATTTCTCATAATTATATTCCAATTTCCATTCTTTTTGTAAACTTGCTTGCAATATCAAACATCTTTGTCGTTTCATGTTTATTATCTGCAGTTAGTACCACATCGTCGGTCCATAGTAATCCCCTCCCCCATCCAAACACCACTGATTCTCACAACTAGTCCATTGTTACGAAAAAGTGTTTTGAAGCCAATTTCTGACCAGAAAAATTCGTTGCAGTATTCTTGTATTTATTAATTAAAATATACTAATAAATTGTAGTTATAGGTCACAATGTTTATATCTATCTGTTAAATAATTAGTAATTAACTAATTTAAGATATTAATTAAGATTCTATTAATTATGTGGAAGAGCGAGTAAACGTGTAGACCTCTTTCTTGGCGCGTAGTAATTGCACCTCGAAGTATTGCATCCAAGTACTTAATTATGCTGTCTAAATGTTAAGTAATACTGTATGCGCGTAATGATCTTGCTTGTCTGGGTATATAGTTTCCTGCAGTTGCTAGATGTTGAACACATCCATTGTTACTGTACGGTTTTGCCGGTTTGGCAAAGTTTACAGATGTTAATGAATTGTCAAATTGACCATTGTATCTTGCAAACAGTAACGCTATACATATCTTTAACGATGTTTGATAATATGATTTATTTATAATTGATACAAGTGTCAGTATTATCAGGGGCGGATACAGGATTTAGCAAAAGTGGGGGGGGGGGCGCCAAAGTAAAGATGGACGACAAGCCAAGGTACGAAGCACCGAGGGCAGGGGCGGATCCAACCTGCCAGAAAAGGGGGTGGGCGCGCAATCTGCGAGCGTAGGCGAGCAGCCTTAGGCTGGGGGCCAAGTGGCCGTCTAGGGCCCACGGCGGGGTCTGGTGGTGGTGCAAGGGGGCGAAGCGCCCTTGAATCATCGTAAACATAATCTTTGACAACATGCAAAGGCTCATAAATGTACACCATTTCAAAAGAGAAATTTCTCTTCTAGAAAACAGCAGTTTCTCAGCAACAGTGAGCATAAAAATTACAAAATCAGCAAAAAGAAAACTGATATCCAAAATCCGATAAAATCCGCTACTGTATATTAACATTGAGTAAATTACAAGTGTTCCATTTCTCACCAAGTGGATTTATGAATAGCACTCTCCTAGGGTGTTTTTGGTAGGAATTGGTGTAATTTTTTATTTGTAAAAAAATAGGGGGGGGGGGGCGTACGCCCCTTACGCGTCACCCCTCATAAATCCGCCACTGGAAATAGGCCTAGGCCTTAGGTTTAGGTAGGCCTACTTTGTTTCAAATCGATTAAAGACAGCATTATACAATTTCATACAGTATATCTTGTAAACGTATACACAATGTGATTAAACCAGGTACTGTACTTGAAAACAACAAGGAAGCAAAACTTACACGTCAAAAGTGTCAAATGTTTTCTACACAAAAACTGTACTTCATTAAAAGAGTAAGTCTACTGACGGGGTGTCGCCAATGGAGATGAGCACACATATTATCAGTGTACTGTGGTCACTGTGCATGGGGTTGTCTGGCGACAGCACATACCTGACCTCGATAGAGAGTGATTGATTGCACAAAGGTTTCCATGCTAGTGCATCTGTGCTTAAACTGTTTTTGTAGCTATGCATTGCGCGATGTGACATAGAATCAACCTTTCTATTGTGTATCCATTCAATTATTTTAACAAAAAAAAAAAGAAATAAAAGTTTGTGATGCCATAGTCGATGACAGGTATGCATGCCACATTCCTACAGCTGTGTGTGAACGCTGTAGAGTGTATAATTGGACTCGTTTTACATTTAATTATTATTGTTAATTTTTCATCTTTAAAAAAATTATAATGGTTCATTCCTCAATTGAATACTGTTGAATATAATGTAGGCGGCTAACGATGGGTGTGTTCCTCCAAAGTTTTTTTTTTTTTTTTGTGTGTCCATGTGTACACATCGACATTTGGTAATCGTGAATCTAAACTCTAAATTGACGATTAGAAGAACCTGAAACATTCATGGTTGTCGTTGTTTTGTTTGTTGTCAACCTAATCTAATACAATTAAGATATTCGTCACCTCGTGTGAACTATCCAGGGCTCTGCTTACCAAAATACGCGGTAATCGCGCAATAATATTAGCATTTGCATACACGAAACCACTTTGGCGATGCTCTAGTTTTTGTGTTTTGCTTTTGTTTCTCACATTTACATCCAGCGTTAGACCCACTGAATTGTTTAACAC